TGAGCACCCTCAGGGTGGCCCCGGTAATCCCCACGTTCCCACAGGACACAACAACCCCTCATCTTCAAGCCATAGCATTGAATCACTAACCAATTGGATGAGGATCACTCGTGGTACCCTTGACCTCTTCAACACTTGAGAGCTGCCCCCTCCCCCATTATATTGATGATAACAGGATGTCACAGGTTGCAATGCAAACGTACAAAATATTTTTTAGAAAACAATGATCTAGTTATATTATTACTTGGACTTTATGCTGTTTTCATGTAAAACCTATGACCCAGTTATATTATTACTTGGGATTTATGTTGTTTCCATATAAAAGAAGAACGAAATCATGAAGATATACATTTGTGCATTATTTCCACAACGGTGAAAAATATGATCTTAGTAAACGAAAAAAATGTTAATGATGGTAAACTAAGTCCAGCAATGTTACGCCATCGTGAAGAATAAAAGACTATGTGGCAACATGAAACATGTTTATGATATAATTAAAAAAAATGTAAAGGCCAATTATGTGGACAGGGGCATGAAAAAGCATGCAAAAGTAAAAACAGTTGGCTGGAGAGTTCTTATTTTTTTTAATGCCAGCACTGTTAGATTGTGATTTTTTGCATTGAAAGCCAAACACTGAGAGGTTTGGCATACCTTGAAAAGATGGGGTGCAGAGCAGGTAAGACCAAGATCCCTTCCTGCGTGAAGATTTTGTGTTCTTGGGGAGCCATGTGCCGAGGCCAGGAAACTGCTTGTTGGGGGGGCATGAGGAAGGGGAAGGGACTCGTTAAAGAGCAGGGAACAGAGTCCTCAATAGGGTGCAAGGGCAGGAGGTAGAATTCTTGGGTCAAGCTACTTGTCTCATCTTCCTCTTCCTCCCGGTAGTTTTACATTGGGGAACTGGGGCGGAAGTGAGGTTTCAGGGTCAGGGAATTTCCATCCCAGACACGTAGGTCAGGGGTACGCTCGTGATTCCAGCAGCCCCGGGCTAAGAAGCACAGACCTGAGCTTTCAACAGTCAGGCTGCCCAGCCCGACAGAGTGTCACTGGGGAGTGGCCCCTATCACACCTCTGGGGAAGCACCCCCAAAGGAAACGGAAGATAACAAGTGATCATACAGAGTCACGACACAGGTTCAAATCATTGGAGAGCTGGGTGTGGGACTCAGGTGCTTGGGATATGCCTGACAAGTTCACAGGTGGAGAGTTTGATCCCTGCTAATGTGTGTTCCCCTGCTCCCCAGCACCGTTGGGTGGGACCCCAGTGAGCCTCTGACACCGCATCTCAGGATGTGGCTCTGTCCTTGCCCCCAAACACTGATGGGTGTGGCTCCTTTAAAAAGTTAATAATATGTATGTCTATATTTAATGCAGGGGTGTTTAAGTTGGAAAGAAGCCATTATAACGCTTTGCCTTGTCTTAACGGGGGAATTTGGGAAGAGATGCATGTATTTGTATGTTTTGGTTTTTCTTGCTTAGTTTTTCAATTTACTTATTTTTTTTTTCATCTTAGGGACTCCTAAGTGGACCAGAGTCCCTATTGCTGATTCGTTTTTCTTTTTTGGGGCCACACTTGGCAGTGCTCAGGGCTTATTCCTGGTGGGCTGGGGGGATGTATGGACTGCTAGGGCTCAGACCCGGGACAGCCACATGCAAAGCAGGTGCCCCACCCGCTGGACTATTACAATGGCTATTCTTACTGAACTGGGCTTGTGGCTGAAGGCAAGGGCCCAAGAATGAGATGTTGCTTGGGCCATTTGGTACGAGGGATACCCAGGCCACCGCACTCAGTGACACTGGGGGACCATATGGTACAGGGAACTGAACCTGGGACTGGCACCTTCACCCGACCACTGTACTGGCTCCCTGACATGTACTTTTGCTTGGGGGCTCTCGAGGCAGTGGCCAGGGGTTACGCCTCGCTCAGGGCTGGTAGGTTGCTCCCAGTGGTGTGAAGCTGGGGCTCCAGCCCTCTGAGCTATTTCCCCGCCCATTTACATGCAACTTCCTCCTGCCACAGCCCAGCTAACCACTGGTGGCACCTTCTTTCTTCAGCTCTTTCCCCAGTGTCTGGCAGAGCCTGGCAGGCAGGGAGTGGCCAAAAGGAAGGTCTGGGAAAAAGAGGAGTCTGTGGAGGCGTGGAAGGTGATTATGCAGCAGAGCTGAGGAGTCAGGGAGAGGAGTTTGGGGGCTCAGGGCGACCCACTTGGTGTACCAATGGTAGCAGCCATTGTGATGTAGGGTAGATGGATGAAAAGGATGGATTATAAAAGGGTGGAGACGAAGAGTGCAGATTTGTCTTTTGCACACTGCCTTTTGTGTGGCTTCTGATTGGATCACAGAGCTATGACCCTGTTTGCTCGCGATGCCGTGTAATGCTCAATTCTGCCTCCCACGTTCTTGAGCTCTGTGACTCAGCTGCTTTCCAGGACATCTGAGGCATTTTCATTCTGAGTACTCTCTAGACCCACAGTCAGATGTCTCATGAAGTCTTTTTATTGTTGTTCCTTTTGGTATAAAACGGTCCTCACCCACCTCTGGGTCCATCAGAGGAAGACCCGCCTCCCACCAAGCTCCCTGCCCTGGTCAATGAAAGCACCTGGAGTGCTGTGGAAAGTGCTTTCTCTCACCACTGACCTGAGGAAGAGGCGCTGAATTTAATTTTTTTGGGGGGAGGTCACACCCAGCGATGCACAGGGGTTATTCCTGGCAGTGCTCAGGGCACCATATGGGATTCCGGGAATCAAACCTGGCTCAGCTGGGTGCATGGCAAACACCCTACCCACTGTGCTATCACTCCAGCCCTGAGGCTCAGAATATAATCCTGTAGGCTGAGAGGGGAACATCTGGAAAGCCAGTAGTAAGATGGATGCCCTGGTGTCCCACTACACCCACAGGAGTTTCCACTGCAGCTTATTTGCTTAATCTTAGAGATGGCCCAAGAGTGGCAACAATCCTAAAACCTTTAGAGCTTCTGTCTCAGTGGTTGGACGGGCATCAAAGGAATCAGCTGTCTTCTCGGGGAACTAACTTCCACTGACCTGACAAACGTGCATGCTCAGCGTGGAACCTGGACGCCCTTTTGTGCGCCCTGAAGCAGAGGCTCTGCATCCTTAGCAGGAATGTGCTTCCTCCTCATACCCTCCGTCTTTAACCCAGCGTTGGCAGGAAGATGAAAGTTCCTCCTATGCCTTCATTTCTAACTCTTGGCTTGTGCCCAGCTCCTTCCTTTTCCGGAGCTCACACTTGCCTGCTAGGAAGCTGGAGCTGGGCTGAACACTTAGTCCTCGACGAAGGAGGGAAGGCATCCAGAGCAGGGGCCTGTCTATAGGGGCCTCGGAGCTCCCCAACCCTCCTCCCCCACTTCCTCTGCGCTTACTTCCTTGTGTCCTGCCTTCCTACACACCCTGTCCACTTTGTATTCCTCCATTACCTCTTTTGCTTCTGCTTCTTCTACTTCCTTCCTGGCTATGTTGCTTGTCTCTATTGTTTCCCTGCCTCTTCTATCTCTGTCTCCCCCCAGTACCCAGCAAGTAACCAACCCCCCTCCCGATTCATTTCCCACCTCACGAAACCCTCAGGAATCCAGGGGATCCATTTCTCACTGGCGTTCTCGGGTGGGACACGGTGATTTTTTCAGGGCAGCCTCTCAATACTGCAAGGACCTCGGTGGGGTGGGAAAGAACAGACCGCACTGTCACTGGGACCCTTAGAATTAGCCTTGTCTCTTGGGAACACAGCTTCCTACTGTGGGACTTTCTTTGGGGCCTGGAAAACTTAGGACGTGGCATCTCCGTTCTTGTTTGTTGAGCCTGTGAGACTGGCCCCTCGCCAGCATCTCTTTGTGCCTAGTTGGAGATTAAGGATCATGGTGGCTGGTGTGTGAGTCCATGTGCTAGAGTTCTCAGAACCTTCTGGGACCTTTTCCTACTTCAGCATGTGTTTTGTCTCCTAGTGCAATGGTTGTTGGAAGGTGCCTGCCAGCCTTGGGGAGGAGATGAGATGAGAGCCCCTTCCCTTTGCTTTGACACTTCAGAGTAAATTATGAGAAGCCCGGGGTGAGGGGCGTGGCATGAGGACACAGCTTGCTTCTCATCACCACCAGAGACCCTCTTCTGGGATCTCCTCAGGGTTGGCGGCTTCCTTCAGATCCCCCCAACTTTCAGTGACAAGAAACCTCTAAGTCAAATCGAAGTGGACCGAGTAGTGCTTGGCTTGAGAGGTGTGGCCCCGTGACAGTCCCAGGAGCTGCTGAGATTTCATTATTTGGTCCCTTCAGAGATCTGGAGAGGCTCCTCTTTATAACCGAATTCCTGGCAGAGTTTCATCCAGGTATTTGAGCTGGAGCTTGCATTCTTTCTGGGTTAGTTTCCCTGTGTATAAAAGTGGGTTATGATTGAAACCCAAGCACAAAAATTTGTAAGTCTACAACTGTACCTCATGATGTCTCACTAATAAAAATTTAAGAAAAAATAAAAGTGGGTTATGGCTGATTTTCTAAGGCTTCTATGAAGAATAATGATAATGCCTGCCTAGTCTTTATGAGGTCCAAAGTGTGTGCACAGTACTTCATTCCCAGCAGGATCTTCTGGAGTGTCAGGACCATTATCAGCCCTATTTTACACCTGCAGAAACTGAGGTTTGTAGAACTCAGTGTGGTCATGTAATTGCGAAGTGACCGGGCCTGGAATTGGAGCTCTGACGCAAAGTCTGGGATTCCATTTTCTGCATGTGTAAAATTGCCTAATACTCTGCCTGGCCTATTAAAACCTCAGAAAATGAACCACGTGCTAGTGGATTTTGATGACTGCTCTCTGAATAGCTCTGACGGAGGTTTCTGGAGACGGATTGGTTGGAATATTTGACGCTGGGGATGGAGGCTGAGGAGAGGCTGAGGTGCCGGCCTCTCGTGGCAGGAGGCATACCAGAGCGAGTTCCCTGCAGGTCTGGAGGCAGATGCGTTTTTGCCTTCCTTCTCACCAACACCTTCCTCTTGCTCCGCAGGGTGATGTGAGCAGAGCCCAGGAATGCCTTATGTGGATCGGCAGAACCGAATCTGTGGGTTTCTGGACATCGAGGAGAATGAGAACAGTGGCAAATTTCTGCGGAGATACTTTATTCTGGATACCCAGGCCAACTGCCTTCTCTGGTTCATGGACAACCCCCAGGTGAGACACTGCAAGGGTAGTCCCCCCGGGCAGCCTGGCATTGCCCGGGAGGAACATCCCTGGGATGAGCCTCAGGGGCTCCGTCTTGCATTCGCCTCCCCATCCTGCAGGCCAGTGAGCACGTGCGCAGGAGCCCGCCCTTGATCTCTCCCCTGACCCGAGGGTACCGCCCTTAACTTGAGGAGAAGAGAAAGCCACTCAGCCTCTCCTCACCCCGGGAGCCAGTGCCTTTTCTCAGACACAGACCAGACACACGCCACGCTGGCTCCCTCTGAGGTTCCACTGGCTTCCTCTCACCTCTCTTGTCAGAGCTGCGACCTTATGGTCACTCCTGCTCTTCCAGTCTCGGCCACTCCCAAGCAGAGAATGTGACCTGCTTCCTGAGCTGGGCTTGTGGGACTCCTGCACCAAGGAGCCGGAACCCTAGCTGGGAGGTGACCGCCCCCTTCTTCCCCCCTCCCCCCATATTTGGGTCACCTCTGGCCGTGCTCAGGGACTACTCTGAGCCTGTTGCTTGGTGGTTGCTCCTGGCAGTGCTCCTTCCCATTGCCGGGGAGGGAAGCTGGTTCTCTTGCGTGCAAAGTGCACGCTCCAGCCCTTTGAGCTCGCTCCCTGCCCTGATGGTGATTCTGTTGTTGTTTTTTGGTTTTGGGTCACACCCAGTTGTTCTCAGGGCTTAATCCTGACTCCATGCTCAGGTTCGAACTCCTGATGTGGCTTGGGGAGGTCCCACATAAGGGATGCTGGGGATTCTACCCAGATCAGCCACGTGTAAGGCACGCACCTGCTTTAGAGTACTATTGCTCCGGTTCAGGGTAGGGACTTTTTAAGGTCGCCTATTTTTAATACTTTTTTGCTGCAAATGAACAAAGCAGATTCTCACAGGATATTTGACTTTGGCAAGAATTTTGTCAGGCACAAAGATTTGTGCATATTTTTTAGCTTTTACTGCTGTGCCCAGAATTCCTGGAGTCCTTACTGGCCTGGCCAAAAAGTGCTATGCCCCTGATTATTTGTCTCTGGCACTGAGTGTTACTGGCTCTTTTCATCTTGCCACTGGGAGAGGTTTGGTGGAATAGGCCCCAGTTGATGTGGTCCTTGAAGGGCAAACTCACAATTCTCAGCTTTGGTGGAGCGGAGATGGGTCTAGATCTGACATCCAGCGCTGGTTCAGAGATGGGGGGAGGTGAAGGCAGGATGGTGGGGCCTGGATTTCTGCTTTGAGATTTGAAGTAGAATACAAAATGATCTGAAGCTCTAACTTATTACTGGGGGACTAATCCTCTGGGCTCCTTTGTCCTTGCTCCTCTGGGTTTGATAGCCGAGAGCAAGTCCTGTTGATAGGAAAAAATTACTCAGGCCCACTGCTGCTAATTGTCTTCTCTGGGAAAGACAGCCCTCAATAAATAGAACTATGCCCCACGTTTTCCTTGCATCCCTGTTACTTTATTTTATTTATTTTATTATGATGATGATTTTTGCTTTTTGGTTCACACCCGGCAATGCAAAGGGGTTACTCCTGGCTCTGCACTCAGGAATTACTCCTGGTGGTGCTCGGGGGACCATATGGGATGCTGGGAATCGAAGCCGGGTCAGCCGCGTGCAAGGCAAACGTCCTACCTGCTGTGCTATGGCTCCAGCCCCATCCCTGCTATTTTAAAGTGCTGAACGTCAGTAGTGGCCTGCACTGGGCAGACACTCTTGCCCGCAGTGCCTGCTCTTCTCATTCTCTGGCTTGGGTTTGTTGAGGGGCCTGCTGGGTTCATTTCCCAGGTGCTCACAGCTGGGTCAGTAGGTTGACCGTCAAAGGAGGGAGCATTCGAGGCACTCCTTGAAGTTAAAAAGATTGCAGTCAGCTTTTCACTGTCACCAGGCTTGGCTTCCAGCATGCCAGTGACATATGGTTTCTGGACTTTATTCCCTTTTCCTGGTTTTCTCCCAGTCACCCTCCGCGTTAGCTCAGAAGACTTGACTGGATTGCTGCTGTTGCCGGCATGCATGGCACCATGCTTTCTACCTGGCCACGCTTCGCCCACGTGTATTTGCGTATCAGGAACCCTGCCGTGTGCTTGCCAGCTGCCCCTGACGCCTGGACTCTCCTTCACCTGGGCCATGGCCAAGGCTACCTTGGGCCATCGAACTGTAGTGTCACCCTTGGAGGTCCTTTTCCTTTTTGTTTATTTTTGGTTTGGGCCAGGGCTTCCTCCAGTGCTCAGGAGTCACTCCTGGTGGTGCTCAGGGGGCCTTTTGTGGTGCCAGGGGTCAGGTCAGGTCAAGTGGATGCAGGGTGTGGCCTTCCCCATTGTACTCTCTCTCCAGCCCCTCTTTTCCCTTTTTTATTATTTTTTTGCAGGAGGGGTTGTTGTTGTTGAGCTTTTTTTTTTTTTCCTGCTGTTTTTAGCAGCTCTCCCCAGGAGTCACAGACTGACAGTCTGACCTCGGACTGCACACCACGGGGTGGGGGTGGGGTGGGGTGGGGAGGGCGCTGCCTCTGAGCCGCAGCTGAAGTGGGAGGAACTGAGCATGTCTTTGGCAGCACTGGGGGCGGCCTGACAGGAAGAGGCCCCAGTGCTCCCTGGGGAGAGAAGAGGGAGGTGCGGGCACAGATGCCCAGTGCTCCCTCAACAAGACCATGTGCTCTGAGTGCCTCGAACTCCTGGGCCAGGGTGCTTCTAGCTCGTTTTGCACTGTATGAGTTGGGGGAGGAGTGCTGACCATTCTGCATTCTGGGGGGCAGGGGCAGATGGTTTCACAGCCATGCCTGCGGGTCAGCACTGTCCTCAGACTGCTGAGACAGTGGGGGAAGGAGGAACCGGCCCCCCACCCCTCCCTGGCTTTGGGGTCACACCCAGCATGCTCAGGTTCCTCCTGGCTCTGCACTTAGGAATTACTCCTGCCGGGCTTGGGGGAACCATATGGGAGACTGAGGATCAAACCCGGGTTAACTGTATGCAAGGCAAACACCCTCCTGGCTGGACTGTCATTCCAACCCCACTTTTTCCTTTTTAAAACACTTTATTCCTTTAAAAAGCATTTTTTAGCCATTGCCCCCCACCCCCGGATTTATCCATTTTTCTTCATCTTCTTCAGTTTCTCTTGCTTTTTTTGCTTATTGTTCATTTGTTAATTTTTTTCTTCTTGTTTCTTAAGTTTTTAAATTTCCCCAAAGGTCAGAGAGAGAGAGAGAGAGAGAGAGAGAGAGAGAGTACAGTGGGTAAGAGGTTTGCCTTATTTGTAGCTGACCTGGGTTAGATCCCTGATACCACTATATGGTCCCCTGAACACCTCCAGGAGTGATCTCTGAGCACAGAGCCAGGAGTAAGCCCTGAGCACTGCCAGGTATGGCCCCCCAATACGAAAGGAAAAAAATGATTTAAAATAGCCGTTTTGTTGTTGTTATTTTGCATCTCGAATGCTGCCAGTTGTGGGAATTTCACTTATACTGAACTGCCTGGACCTGACTGTCTCTTGCTTTTAGCATCTGACCTTGGATTCTGTTCCTCACTACCTGCCTGGGATTGCAGGGTCCGCCTCTGTGGTGGGCTTAGCTGCCCAGGCAGCGGCTCTCTGTGTCTCTTTGGGCTGAGCTCTGGATGTTCTGGCGTCTTCTTTCCCTCCTGGATTCTCCAATATTCCCGGAAGTCAAGGTTTCAGCCGGCTTTGGTAGAACCTAAAAAGGGAGAGTCTTAATGCGGCATGGCAATAATTCAAAACATTTTATTTCTTTAGCTATTGGCACCGCTTTTCATTTAGTATTAATGACTACAAAACCATTCTAACCTTAACAATGGACATTTTTGTAAAATAAGGAGAATTTATTGGATTGTGCCTAGCACTGTTCTGAAGATAGAAAAAGCACTGCTCAAAGAAACTTGAGTTTTCATATCATTTGCACAGCAAATCAGCTGGTAGATATTATTATCTTTGTTCTAAGGTGAGGTGGGTGAGGCAGAAAAGAAATATGCCCATGGGTAGTTACACAGTAGCCAAGTGGGACCATCAGCTTCTGACCATGGCAGTTAGTTTCCTTGCTTTAGTGCTAGTTCTGAGACTAATTTTAATATTGGCTTGGGAAGAGAAGGTTCTGTCTCTAGGTCATCTCTGAAAAGAAGAAGCTGTCAGACTCTCAGGGCTAGCAGGCCGAGAGTATATCCAGTTTAGCACCCTTTTTCTCCCACAGTAGTTAATTGTTTGTAATGATTATTTATGAGACAAATTGCTCCTTAGCCCTCATACTCATTTTTCTAAGTTTAAGAACGCGGCTCAGGCCAAAGTTATGTGAAAGTTGACCCAAAGTTATTCTTTATATTCTCAAGCTGTTTTGCATCTAGGAAAAATAGCAACCTGCATGAGCTGTTCAAACTCTTTTATGGAGTTATAATTTCTGCAGACATCTGCATATGCTTTCTTTCTTGGCTCAGACACAGCAAACTTATAGAAAGCGATAACCCCCAGGGATATAATGAATGGCTCCAACAATATAAAATCACAGACACTTGGCCAAGTTGCCCATCTAAGACGCCGTGGTAATTATCCTCAACACCGAAGTCCTTCCCGACGGGAGGAAAGGTGGATGGTGCTCCTGGTTTCTCCTTTTAATGAAGAGCTAGTCCAGCTGCTGATGAGCAAAGGAGGGAGTGTATGAGCGAGTGAACAGACCCAGTCCGCCAGGAGGGAGCCCGTTAGGAAATACGGAGCCACGGCCCATCATGCTGGACTGAGGACAAAGCCTCTGTGGGGCAGGGACAGGCAGAGAGCCACGAGTCAGAGGGAGAGTGTGTGTGGGGGGGGGGGGAAGGGGGTGACCCCAGGGGCACATTGCAGCATTTGGTTCTGTTTTTGTGTAGAGAAATGTCGCTATCTGTGTGCTTGGTTACTGGACATCGGATTTCGTGTGGAAAAGGAGATGAGTGAGATATCTTCGTTACTTAATGGGCATTGACCTGCATCCATGTCTCTGTTCTTTAGCTCTGTAAGCTGCTTGGGAGTTAGTGCCACTA